CAAAATGGCAATCTTTAAACCCTCATAACTTTACGAAAAATGATTACAGGTGAAATATATTTTCAAATTTAAGTTCAGGACAACAATGGCTTTCGAATGATATAAAAACATTCCGTCAAAAATGGCTAGTTAAAAAGTCGAAATTTGTCTGAAGAAAAAAAAACCCACCCCGAGCACAAATATTCCGTTACTTTCGTATCGAAAGTCGGAACAATAAAATAGGCGTTTTGTCTCAAAATTAGTGTAATTGTTTATAGCCAGCTAGCTGTATTATATTAAATAATACGGAGCCTTTTCCATTGCCCTACTTAGTGCTTTTTGATTTTTAATAGAGCAATGTTTCAACAGAAAATGAGCTGAATGCAATGAATTCAAAAGAAAAAGTTCTTCAAAAATTCAAACTTTTGTAAGTTTTGTGAGAGCTTATTTTCATCGTGTTTATTTCCATAAATATCTTACGAGATCATAATGAATAATTAATGTATTAGTTGGGTTTTGACCCTAAAGTTTTGTATTTTAGTTAGGTATTTTACTGTCCATTTTTTCTGAACAACTTTTTCGAAAAAGGAAACATCAAAGTGTATCAAAATAAGCATCCTGCTCAGCTGTGTAAATTTTAAAAAGGTATCTTGTCTGAAATTTAGTATACTGTTGCAACAGAAAATGAGTGGAATAGAACGAAGTCAGAACAAAATATTTCTGCAAAAAAATTAGAAATTGGAATGATTTGAGAGCGTATTTTTGTTCCGACTTTCGATACAAAAGTAACGGAGTATTTGTGCTCGGGTGGGTTTTTTTTTTCTTCAGACAAATTTCGACTTTTTAACTAGCCATTTTTGACGGAATTTTATATCATTCAAAAGGTATTGTTGTCCTGGGCTTAAATTTGAAAAGATATTTCATCTCTGATCATTTTTCGTAAAGTTATGAGGGTTTAAAGGTTGCCATTTTGGCCATTTTGACCAATTTGGGACAATTAACGCGCGATGTAATTCGAGCTATTAACGCGTAAGCGGAGATTTAATCCGTCTTAGGAATCGTTCCAAATTGGTTGAAAGAAGCTTATTTGCCATAATTGGTTTGTTTCAAGGAATGAAATCTATCCTTTTGTACTTTATATGGCGTGTGGGGTGATGATTTTCAAAAAAAATTCAAATTAAAAAAAAAATTTTCATTTTTTTTTATTTCAATTAATTTTTTAAAGTTTTTTTTGCTCCATAAATCTTAAAAGGCAGTCGGAACGTTCAGCGCTTTGCCCTGATACGAGCAGTCTTGTTTATTTATATTTACATAAACTTCCTTTCATACCTAAATTATTCATTCATTCATTCATTCGAAAAGGGTAAACTCCAAACTAAGCCGACAAACATTTAGTCCTAAATGCGGACTAATTCTTTTGGAGGCGTTCAACAGTGCCGAAGTACAACAGTGCCGAAAATGAAAAAAAAGTTCAACAGTGCCGAAAATTGATAGTCTTCGGCACTGTTGAATACTTTTTCATTTTAGGCACTCTTGTACTTCGGGACTGTTGTACTGCCCCGTTCTTTTCAAAGTTCTTGTGGCATTCATCTAGCTGCGTAAACGAAATAAATATACATTGCGTAGGCTTACGTCAATTTTTAAAGAAAATAAGCGCTGGGACTCCCGAACAAAGTTTCGAACAGAAAATTTCCGGTTTTTGTTCCCTTACTGATAGTAGGACCCAATTGATTTCGTTCATATAAATTCTATTATCAGGTTTTCAGCATGTTTCTAAAATACCGAATAGTTTTGAGGCCATGTATTTTAGCCTTTGAAAATTAAAAGGAAATCACTATTTTCTTGATTAAATTGACGCTTTTTTTAACTGCCTGCGATATATTTTTAAAAGCAGTTTACGAATGTGTTAACGCTGTTAAAATAAAGTCAACAGGAATTGTTGAGTCGTTCAACAGTGCCGAAGTACAACAGTGCTGAAAACTGATGATATTTGAAAATTTTGATTTCCGTTTGTGAATATTGTCGGCAATATTGCGTGAATACTGTTTTGTTTTGGAGCGAAACCGAGAGGAAAATTTGACAGTTTATTGAGTTAATTATTTGCTTATACAGGTTTGCAACACCGCGCCTGGGGAATTTTTGTTGTTTAACTAGCGTTATCAATTAAAGTTGCAAAATATGTTGTTTCAACTTTCATCAATTTGAAATAAAATACTTGCCAGTGGTATGTGATGAGTAAAAACAGTATTCAAAATAACTTCGGCGCCATTGAACAATATTTTATTTTTGGCACCAATGTACTTTGGCACTGCTGAATTTTTAGATTGGTTTCCTTTCTACCAGAAATTTTGAAACACAAGTCGCAATTGGGGACTATAAACGGAGAGCAATTTTTTACGCAGTTATTGCTACTTCTTTTTTTGGTGAGCAGAAATCGATTTCTGATTTAAATTGTCAGCACAAAACTCAGATAAACCAAAAACTGAAGAAATTTTTTAACGAACTGAATTTTAAGACGCAAAATGATGAATACACCACACCCATTCCATAAAGGTTAAAAAGTTTCAGTTTAGTATGATTTTTGCTTATTGTTTTCTAATAGCATGCGATGTACGTGGCGAAATAGTTAGTCTCAAAATCAATCTTCTGTTCAAATTTATAAACTAATAATTTTCAAGCGAGTAACTTTTTTCCACCAGACCGCAAAATTTGAAGTACTTTACCTGAATTTTGGGACAGTTTCGGACTTTTCACATTTTTTCTCAATTTTTTTTTATGCGCTTCAGAAATCTGATAAAATAACTAGAATTATAAACTATCAACTCGTTTTGAACAATACTGACCACGCTTGGTACGGGTTTCTAAAAAAGTCTACTATGTAAATTTGACAGATCAAACAAACAGTTTAATTATTTTTACAGCTCTTATGAAAATCGACGTCCTGACTAGTTTTTTCAGAATTGATTCCAAATTGTGTCGAAACAAAATATCGATCAAACCCAAAGAATATGATTTTAAAAATTACCCAGAAGAGTTATTCAAATTACGCTTGTCAAAAAACTCTTGAGAAAGCTTCTACAAGCAAAGTAATCCTGAAAAAATGTTCAACTTTTTCGATCAAAGCCTTGTTGAAACTATTCAAAAATGAGCCCCACAAAAACCTATTTTCATACGTAATGAAAAACCAAAAGTAAATTTACAAGATAATTTTATACAAAAATGCTTCAATTTAAAAAAACAGCGTAAAATGAGATAGCTTTAACAGAGGCGAAGCGGAGCTTCGCATCATTCGGGATAGAATATAAATATTTAAAAACGTAAGTCAAAAAATTTTGAAAAAAAAATTAGTTGAAACAAAAACTTTTGGATGTCTCGATAAAAGACAACTAGGGGCCTGCTAAAGCTGGAGATACGTGTTTGATAGTTTTGTTATACCTAATTAGGACGAATTGTGTTAATCGGTAACTTTTGTCTGCTAAAAGTAGGTAGTGACTGCTTGAGCAGCGAATATTCCCCAAACCCAGCTTTTTCAGTTGAACACTTCACTTGATAGTTTTTCAGGGTAGTTTTCGAGAAAACTTTTTAAAAAATGGTCAACGTTTCAAATTTTGACTTTTTGAAGACCATAGTTTTTTTCTAAAAGAAATAGGGCGTAGCCGATTAATAAAGGTGGGCTTTCAACAATCTGTTGTTTTGGTTAAAGCTATGATATCAGATTTGTCAGAAGTGATAAAGAGAAAAATTTGAAAAACGGTCATCAAATCAAAAGTTTGACCCTTCCGAGAATCAAAGTTTTTTTTGCAGAAGAGATCCACGCAATTTGTAAATTCGATTGGACCCAAAAATTCAGATTTGGGAGGGTAGTTGTCGAGAAAAGTCAAAGTGTCAAAAACAATCGAAAAATCAAAATTTCGGCTTTTCGGAGGGCCATAACTTTTTGTGTAAAAAGTTTTGGGCCTAGTCGTTTTCCAAAATCCGCTTTTTTCATCGGAACTAAAATCTTAAAATTGGTATGGTAGTTTTTTAGAAAAACTAAAAGAAATCAAAACTGTTGGTGAAACTTTCCCAAAATAGACTTTTTCGAAGGGTATAGACAGAGGGGTAAAGTATAGAGACGCTAGGGGGAGGCACACGGAGGAGTAGGTGGTCTTTCCAATGATACTCCTTTTTTGAAAATCGATGGAATAGTTTTTGAGAAAAACTGAAACTTAGGAAAAATAATTTAAAAAACGCAATCCCATGCATTTTATAATATCTTTTTTTATCAAACCGATTTCAGCCAAACAATAATTTTTTAATTTTGAAATAGCAACGGAAAAAAATCACGAAAAGGAAACAAAGCCGACAATCTTTGAGCAGACATACATTATCATCTAAAACGACAAGTTTAGTTACCTTTTGTTTTCAAATTAATCACGCCTTGGGGCCAAAAACAGTGGAAATTAGGTGTAAGACGAAAACCTGATGTCTAACGAAAAATTTTTGAAAGAAAAAGAAAGATTTCTTTTTCAATTTATTGGCGCGATCCATGTTTAAGAAAAACAATCAATAGTTCAGTTCGCAAATGACTGTTAGTGTCAGCTTGTTATGATTTAAACGAAATATGAAGAACTCAGACAGAATCACGAGGTCAAAATCATTTGATTACTTTCTTTGAGTTAGTCGCTGCAGGGTCAAAATTGGTTTTCTACGTTGATTTGGTAGTCAGATTGATAATAACTTCAGCATTTACATACCACAATAAAGATTTTACCAAATTACCAATATGGTATGCGTTTTCTCAAATCTTATATACTATACAACACGCTAAACGCTGTTTGTTGAGTTTTTGAATTAGCCAAAATCAGAGTGCGTATTGTCTGGATTTTCAAATGGTACCTATGCTTAAAATAAACTGACGTTGTCTGTGATATGCTTTGAAAACGTGTCTCCAAGTTACCAACCGTACGTGACTATATGTTAATTTCATTTATTGTTATAGATAGTTTTATCAAGAATAAAAAAAACTGTTTTGTTTACAGCGTTTTGGTATTCGACTGGACAGTTAAGAATGTCTGTGTAACTTGAGCTATTCTGCGTGCTGCGGCAATTTTTGGAGAATTTTTGTTACTCGGCAATAAATTACTACATTTATTATAACATTATTTGTGGTTCTATTCGTGGTATCGGTTGAAAATCGAAGCCATAGATCAATTTTATTATTGCAAACTGAGGCAAGAAAGAAGAAAATAAGATATCGAAGAAGAGTTTAAATAAACAACATGAAACTATCTTGGGTGTGTGACTTCTACCAGAGAAAAGATTGCAGAAAGGGAGCGAATTGTGCGAGGCTGCACCTCTGTGCCAAGTTCCTGTCTAAATCATGTCCCGATGAGTCGAGGTGTGGCCTGGCTCATAGATTGTCGGACCGCGACGCTAGAATGCTGTCGAGCCAGGGGGTAGATGTCAACAACCAGCAGATCTTCAGGTAAGATGTGTTTATATTCAATTAAGTATGAAGTAAGTTGTGATTTTTTTGTAGTGTTATATATCAATGCATAGCAGGGGCGGATTTAGGGGGGAGGCCGTCGCCGCGCCCCCTTCAGGGATTCGAGACCTCACCAGCCAAAGATCCCCCTTTGGTAATATTTCATAACGTCCATTTTAGGTTAGCCAATCCCAAAATTGTTCTAAAGGCGCCAATATAAACTAATTTTAAAGGGGGAGCGCCCGCCGAAAAAAGCAATTGTTTGTCAAAATTTTCGGTCAAAATGGGGAAATCCGCCCCTGCTGCATAGGAGCATCATTTGCTGTCATCTCATTTTTCCAAGCCATTTTTTTTATAAACCACCCCTTATTAATCTGCCATTAAGTCTGGTAAAAGCTCAAAATCATACCCAAACGGGGTCCCATAGGGTTGTGAGAGGTTCTGATTAATGAAGATAAAATTTCAATCTTCTCCGAGTTTATTTTCAATCTCCGAATGTTTGCATAAAAATTATCCAAAATTGGTGTTATTATAATAGTAAAATTAATAAATTGTGTCCAAACGATATCTGGTTACAGAGTTATAAGTATAATTTTACATAAGAATTATGAATCGTATGGGGGGGAGCATTTATTGGCGCTCCCTGTATACTATTAAAACCGTATTTGGAGAAAAAAATTAAGCGCCGCAGGCAATTTTTTGAAAAGACAGGTGTAAAAAAAGCCGTTTTTGTGCACTTACTGGAAAATTTTGACCGAAAAAAAAAACATTTTTTTTGGCGCCCGCTCCCCCTAAAGATTAGTAGACATTGGCCCCAAAGGCACCCTCAGAAAAGTTTTAGGGTCGGTCGGCCAGAAATGGATTTCTTAAAAAGTCAAAAGGGGACCCTTATGGTCGGCAGCGGGTCGATCCCTGAGGGGGGCATTAATGCAACACAATTGAAGGTTAAAAAGTTATTTCGGTTGCAATAGAGAATGACTATATTCTCTTCTTCTTCGCTCTAAATGGTGAAAAATTTGAACCCAGTTTTCTCGACTGTGAAAATTTTTGGGCTCAATGTGCAATTGAAAAGGCTCGATCAGGTTAACATGTCATCCTAAGCATGTATCAATTCTGAAAAAATTCTGTATAAAATATGTATTTTTTATAAACGGCGCAAAATACATATTTTAAAATTGTTCATACAAATTAAATTTTTTTAGATACAAACTCAGTTAAATGGTTAATCGACGTTTTTAATTATTTCCGATATTTGAATCTTTTAATTAGGCTGTTTAATATTCTCCTTAAACTTATCTTATGAAAATTTTTCATTTTATATACCCCCTATATCAATTTGAGAGGGAAGTTATACGATTGATCTGATTCTTTTTCAATATTCTCAACTAAGGCAACTCAAAGTTAAATGTTATCAGGTCCTATCGTGAATTTTTTAAATTTGATCGTTTTTTAAATTGAATGATTCACTGCAGAAGATTCATTTTCGATGAGTCATTGAAGTTAATGTTGATCATTTTTGACGGGAACAAAAATGGTCAACTGGTTTGGTCTCACATTCAAATTAGTAGATCAACATGGATTCAAATCATATTGATCAAAAATTATCAACATGGTTTTCAATTACTAATTGAAAAATTATCTTCAGCGTTGAATCATTGAATTTAAAAACCGGTCAGATTGAAAAAATTCACGATCGTGTCTGATAACATTTAACATTGTGTTGACTTAGAATATTGAAAAAAATGGCGGATCAAGCGTAAAACTTTCCTCCCAAATTGATATAGTGGAAAGAAAATAAGATTTAAAAAAAAATTGGGAAGAATATGAAATGCATGTTATACAGATTTTTTTTCAGAGTTGATACATGCTTGGGGATGACATTCTACGGTAGGTGACTTAGGGGGATTGTACGGTTGATCCAAAATGACTAAAAACGTTTCGCAGAACTAAAACCGTCTAGTCCAAACTAAGTGAAGATTGGAGTCATGGCAGATGCATTTTATAAAGAACCAAATCTTGCTTTGTAGCTGTTTTTGTCAATATATGAATTGTATAAACAAGTTTTTTTCGTTTGATCTTTCCTTGAGCGTTGCAAACCAAAATATGTACTAGTTTTCAACAAGCTCGTTGTTTCAACTAGTGCATACTTAGGAAAACTATTGTCTCATGCTAAAATTATTGATTATCAAGTCAAAGTAGATGGTGAACAAAATGTGCCGTGCTGTTCGAAGTAGCAATGAACTGCTTTTTCCTTGATCTTCCTTGACCCAAAAGCGTCTACCAGCAGCTTGATGCAATTTTTATCAGCAAGCGTAATTGTAGATATCGAGAGAGAAGAAAAATTGAGTAATTCTGTAGATTTCACCGAGAAAGTATAAGCAACATTTCATAGGTGTTGTTCTTGCAGTACTTAAAGAGAGGTGGTTTAGGATGGGTCATATAGAGTTTGCGAAGATAATCAGGCCAAATTTCGGAAAAACATAAAAACAATCTCTGCGATATCAACTTTCCGAAGTTATTGGATTTTTGGAGAAGGAGAGTCTTGTCTGAAAAAACTCTCTTATCACACTTTTGAAAACAAAGAAAATGAAGGTTTCAAATTTTTTTCTCAGCAAAAAAAATAAACATGCTTAACTAACTTACAGTTTATGCTGACTTAGCTTGCGCATATTGATCGACGTTAAAATGATACAATTGGCATCATGCTTCGAAAAGTGGTCAGAAAAAATTTTTGAGACCGGTTTTGTTCCGACAATTGTAAGTGGGGAGGAACTTTGTCTTCGGTTGTTTTTTTTACACAAGCAAAGCTTGTGTTATAGTATGAACTCTCTTTTTTCCAACATAAGTCGCAAATATTATTGCGGCGTAAATATTGTTGCGACAAAATGTGTTCATTTTGAAAAAGTTCAATTTATCAATAACCAGCTATTAAGTACAGCCAATGCTAAGGATATTAACACAGACTCTTATATTACAAATAGCACTTTAGCTTCAAAGTATCATGGACCTGTAGCGTAGATTTAGGGAGAACCACAATAAAATAAGAGGGCTCGAGCCTGGGCAGGGTCGGATGTTTTTAATGAACTTTTTCGTATATTTGTTAAAATACGTCCGCTCTATAAATTGAGGCATGTTAGTTGTAAATTTCTTTTTTTTTCAAATTGCCTGGTACTGCTAATGCGTCATAATCGGCTTGCGTCACTTAGCAATTTTGTAGATTCATAATTGGCGTGCGTCACTCACGAAATTTTGTAGACTCAAAGTTTTAGTCATTCAGTTTTTCCCAGTAGCGTCATCGGTCATTTTTTTGCTTATGTATGCAAAGTGCAACCTCGACTATGCGTTTAATATTATTTTTAAAAAGTTTTCCTCGCAAAATTGAATGCAACATATAATCATCGCCGTATAAAAGCCCTAGACGACGTGATTCTAACGACTTTTAAAAATTTCAAAAAAGTTCTCCATGATAAAAACCGGTTTCAAGTTTTTTTGTCTAGTTTTGTGGAGCTGGTAAAACGAGCAGGTTAAGAACTTAAAGCAACCATTAAGCTGTAAAATTATTTTCTCTTTCTGAATGTGCAGTTTTTGAAGTTTCATTTAGCACTTTGCGAGCCCAAACACTTCAAAAAAAAGTAAAAAAACAAATATTTTAAAAATGTTACTTGAAAAACATAACTAGAAAAATCTTTGTATCCCCCTTCAACACTAACTGATCGCTCTAATTCTTTATTTTTTGAGAATGGCAACTGGCTTCCGATTGTTTGCTTTTTCGACCTTTTTACAGTCCTTCACCTGTTTTTCAGCAAGTGAAACTTACGTTAACATTTCCCAATTTCTAAGTGTCACTGAACAGAGTGATAAAACTTTTTAAGACTTGAAGCGAAAAAAACGTGATCAGCCTTGTATCGAAATTGGATAATTTTATATTAATAATATTACAATGTTCAACCCACCAGTCCAGTTTTCTCAAATTGGGTTAATTATATCAATTTTTTTCGACAAAAATGAATTTATTTATTTTTCTTTGTAAACCCTTCGAAAATAATCAGTTGTGGGCGTTCAGCAGTGCCAAAGTACAACAGTAGCAAAACTTAAAATGTGTTTAATTGTCTCACAAATGGATGATAACTGAGTTCATCTTTTGACGTTTTGTATGAATACTGTTTTGTTTTAGAGCGAAACAGAGAAGAAACTTTGACAATTTGCTAAGATAGTTGTTTGTTCATAAAAATTTAACGCCGCGCTTGAGGATCGTTTGTTGTTTAACAAGCGGCATCAATTAAAATAGCGATTTTTGTTCCGACTTTTGAAGAAAGTGATGGATTATTTGTGCCCGGGCGTTTATTTTTTCTTTAGACAAATTTCGACTGTTTATTTATTTTCGACGGATTTTTTAAACATTTTATCTGAAAGGTATTGTTGTCCTGATTTGATCTCTCTTAGCAATCATTACAGATTATTTGAAGAAGGCTATTTGCCATAATTGCTATGTTAATAGGAGCGAAATTTATCAATTGGTACTTTATGGTTTGATTTTTTAAAAATCTCAAATTAGAAAAAAAAAAAAATCTTTTTTTTTGAAAAATTCATCAATTGTTACAAAGCGAACACTGCTTGATAAAAACTTTTAATGCAGTTGGAACATTCAGGGCTTCGCCTTGATAAGAGCAGCCTTGTTGTCTTTTAACTTCTTTTCTTTTGAATATAATTACTCGTCAGTAATTTGGAATGAGTAAAAACAGTGTACAAAAAAAGTTTCGGCACTACTGAACAACATTTTGATTTTCAGCATTGTTGCTTCGGCACTTTTGTACTGCGCAATCAGTTGTTTTCAAGTTTTCTGAGTTCTTCGACACCTTTCCAACATTGTGTTGACTCTATTTTCAAGTTTGTGTAATTACTGTAATTACACATTTGATTGTATCTTCAACCTTGTAAAGTTAATGGTTTACACAAACTATTTTTTTCGGCATTGCGTGAAACGTCAGAAGAACCCGTTTTTTGCCCTTTTTCTGTAAAGACAATTCACCATGTTTAAAATGATCAAAGCTTTGACCTGCACATCATTGTAGAATACAAAAAAGTCAATTTCTTTGGTACAGCCAGAAAAGGGTTACGCATAAGTCCTCGTACACACACAGACTAGAGCAGGGTGACCACTTGGTCACTATTTTAGTTACCAGTCACTATTGGTTACTTATTGGTCACTATTTTTTCATTGGTCACTAAAAGTCACTATTTACAACTGTTTTTGGTGACGGACCCTAAAATTTGTCTAAAGGCGCCTTCGGCGCCAATATATACTAATATTGCGGGGGGAGCAACCCGAAGAAAAACACATTTTTTTTCAAAATTTTTCAAAAAGTGCCTAAAACGACTTTTTTTAGCCTGTTTATTCAAAATTATGACTGTGGCGCAGAAATTTTGGCCAAAACAGGGTTTTTTAGTGCTTTGGCAGAGCTTGAAAAATTAATTTGGTCGACCTAAAAAAAATTCGACTAAAAATTCGAAAATTGTCATAGTAACTTTTTTTCTCTCAAAAAAGTGGTCACCCTGGACTAGAGCTTTATAATCTATAATGTGTAATTTATACTTTTTCTCCTTCGCAACAGTTGCTTTGAATTTCTAACCATGGTTTTTGTTTTGTAGGTTTATCGGAGAGTTTTGTCGCGATCAAAATGAGTTAATGGGGATAGAGCCGACTATGAATATTCCAAGACCATGTAGAGATTACAATAGAACTCAGTGCAAGGACAAACAGTGTCGCTACCCTCACTTATGCTACCGATTTGTGGACGAGTCACGTGACAACTTCCCAGCTAGAAGAAGTTCCTGCTTGAATTGTGGCAAAGATCATATTCTGTCCCCCTCGGAAAAGGCGAAACTGGCTCCGTACTGTTTCGATATTAAGTCCTACTGTGTTTTGAAATTGTATCTTGAAGTGATGCAGCGGTTCATCAAGCCAGGAGCTTCTTCTACATACAGAAAAAGTGTACAAAATTACGGCAATGGACTGGGACTAAGTGTAAACGGTGCTTCTAACAGCAGACCGGAAAGTAGCAACGGCGGTTACCAAAATCAGGATTCACAAGTTCAAGACATGGGATTGGAAGTCAAAAAAGAAAACGAAAATGAGGAGAGTGAAATTTGCTGGGCATTTTTGAAAAACAAATGTGCTTATGGAGACACGTGCTTCAAAGTTCATCCAGCATACAAGACTACGGTCTTATGGGAATTCAAACCAATGGGCCAGAAAGTCTGGCGCCCTTTCGAGGAGGAAGAAAGCGAAGCCCTGGAATCCCGGTTCTGTGTTCCGGAAATTGACCGCGGAACTTACCCAGGAATGAAATTGAGAGTCATGTATGATTTCGAAACTATGAAATGTACTTTGTACCCCCCAATGCCGAGTAAGAAAATTGTGTGCAACATTCGACGAACTGAAACGAAAGAAAAGCGAACAAAATGGAACTTTTATTGGCAAAATGAGAAAGAGAACGGGTTCTGGCAGCCATATGCCAAGAACGGGAATTTTGGTCTTGATTGCGATGAAATTGATCAAATTTTTGAAAAGCTTCAAACGAATGAATTTACGGACAAATTTTTCCTCGTTAACAATAGTGAGGGAAGAGTGTTGCATTTGAAAAAAGCGGCGGGAAATTTCTCTTTTTATGAAACAGACGTTTCAGGACATGATCGAAAAGAAGTAAAACGGAGACCGCGTGAAGAAAAGATCAAAATAAACGAGAAAGGTGTGAAAGCATCAAAGACGCACAGTGAAATTTCCGCGCCTTCCGTGAACGAAGCTGCGCAAAAAGTATGCGCAAAGCATGAAACAAAGCCGTGCACTAAACGGGAATGTCCAATGTTTGGATGTACGAATGACTTTTTATGGCTATACAAAGAGAAGAGTCGAAAGCAATGGAATCCGTTTCCTGAAAATGTTAGCGAGTTCCTGGAATCCCAATTCTGCAACCCAGAAATATCCGAGACGAAATTTAAATGGAACAACCAAGAAGAAAGGATCAGATTTGGTGATCACGAAATAGAACTAATTTCGAAGCCGAGTTTCGACGTTCTGAGGCTAAGCTACGGTTCTATCATGTCATGGGCTTGGTACTGGTTAGAGAATGCATCAAATACGAGAAACAGTGCTCGTGTTACTAGCCTTTTCCCAGAAATCTTACAAAGGAATGGGATCCAAGTCAGAACATCGGTTCCCAAAAATTGGAAGCTGTATGGCGAAAAAGGATCTCGCGATGTGGCATCGGATATTGAGAGTGATCGTATCGAGTACGGCTTTGAGAGCTACAGAGACGAAAAGATAAAATTCTTAGCCGGCAAGAGCATTTATGAGATCAACTTCACAACATTCGATCAAAAGAATTTAAAATCTGGTTCTGTGCGAAAAATAAGAAGGCGACCGAAAATTGATATTCAAAAGCAAGAGCCGGTTGTCGACCAACAAATGGTTTTCGATCAGTCACCACCGAAAGAATGGGTTTCTAAAAGTAGGTCGGCTTTTATTGCTGTCGAGCCTGAAGACAATATTGACTGTAACATTATAACGAGTTTCTTCAAAGATGCTATCGATGGGTATGACGTCATCGTTACGCGAATCGAGAACCATAAGATTTGGAAAAATTACCACGAGAAAAAGAAGGAGATGATCACTAAACTGGGTCAAAATGGCTTGAATGAAGTGCTGTTGCTTCATGAGACGGAAAAGAAGTATAAAAATGAAATTATGGAGTCTAACACATACAAAGTAGGACCTCGCAAAACCATGTCAAACATCGGCAAGGGAATTTATTTCACTAACGAAATCGACCTTACTTCTATACCTGAACTAGAAGATGATAGCGAGGAATCCAAATTTATTTTCGTATCCTTGGTTCTGGCCGGCGAGTATACCCAGGGCTCGAAGTTCTTCGTTCGACCCCCGCTGAAGGAAAATGAGCTGAGCATAGGTGAAGAACAGTATGATTCATGCGTGGATGACCCGTATGCGCCTAAAGTGGTGGCTCTGTTTGATGTGAGTCAGACCTACCCACTGTACATGGTTGAATTGCAACCGGAGGAGTAGAAAGAAAAACATGAAGAGATGTCCATGACATGTAAAACATCTTTAAAGTATGATTACACTACCGAGCTTGTAATTACATATGACGATCGATTTATTGATTTTTCCCACAATAATCTTGCGAAATTGTTTTCAAAAAATAAAATGCGAAACTTCATTTTTTGTTGAAACTCAGTTAAAATCGATCGTCTATTTTTATTTCACTGTAAAGCTAAGGCTTAAGGAAATAACCCTGCATCATAGTTATTTAGCAAAAAGTCAAGATTTTTCTCAGAAACGATACTCATTTATTACACTTAATTTCTGATATATCAATGAAGCTATTGGAGAGTTTTTAAATCAAAATGATGTTGACTGCAAAACACATTTAACACCCGCTTCTCTTCCCTTTGCTTTCTTTTGTGAACTTAACATGGCCGAATATCTTTTCAAAAAAATTCTGTCTCGTATTTGAAGAATACGAAATGAAGTTTTTGTGCTTAGCTGACACTGGACTGTCTATCATAAACCATTTACTGATTTACCTTTGATCTCTATATTTTCCACACAACTGATGCTACTGTTATTATTATTATAGTTAATACCAATTTCTCGGCAATATCCTATTCGGTCAATGATAACGAAGTTAAATAACCTAAAACTGCTTATTTTCCTACCTGAAATTAATTATTTTTTATTTCAGCACGTAAAAAGTCATATCAAAAAATCCAGTTAACCTAAAACAACCATTTTTTACCGGTTAATTTGCTCAAGGTCACCGATATTGCCAACAATCTGGCATTAACAATATAAACCAAAATGAGATATAGTTACTCTAGAAAAGAGTCACTGACTGATGATGTGACAATTGATGTGATTGAGAGTAGCTGCCTCGATATAAACGTGATAAATTTTATCTAATTAAAGTTTTGGTTGATTGATTAAAAATGAGATGAAGTTAATGCCATGAATCTTTTTTCAGAGAAGCCGGTATTTTGAGCCATCAGATTTTGGCAAATCTGAAATTGTTCGGACCACACAAAATCAGGCAACGCAAACTATGCTCGGTGTCAAATTTACAGCGTGTTTTCAAAACTTGTTTTTCTAAATCATCTCTCATTTCACGAATATTTGGGTGATTGAAAGGTTTTTTCTATAGTAGGCAGGAAAAATTTGCCGAATTCTGATGATGCATATCATTGAATTGGATTGTTTTTGTTCACGTATGTTATAGGATTTAAGGAAATTTCACCGCTTTTTGAGCTGAAAAAGCTACTATAGTGCTAAATATTCTAACTTTTTGCATTAAAATAATCTAACTTTTTGCATTAAAATAATCTAACTTTTTTGCATTAAAACATACATCATTGAAAAGCTAGTTAAACTCCAACCATTTTTTGTCCTTATCATCTTTGGCCAAATTGAATCCAATTTGAGAAAAACGAATTTGAAAGTTCTGTTTTAGTTCATTTTCTCCGGCTGTTTTTATTCAGCACTAAAACAACTTGTTCAGCTCAAAAAGCGGTGAAATTTCATTAAGCTCTATAAACATGCGTAAACAGAAAACAATCCAGCTCAGTGAATTATATCATCAGAATTCAGTGAATTTTACCTGCCTGCCGTAAAAAAAATCAATTCAATAACCCATATATTAGTGAAATGCGAGAGAATGCATAAAAATCACGTTTTGAAAACACCCTGTAGTAACATAATAAAACCCTTACAGTCGTCATTTGGATTTCAAGAAGATAAGTTAAAAATATCATTTAGTATCGAGCCAAACTAGTCCAGTTTTTCTTCGTATTCAGATTAATGTAACTCTAGCAGTGGCGTGCGCATAAACTTTTCTAGAATGGAGAGATTTTTCCAAAAATTTTGAAATTTTTGTCGACTAACTTTATGTCGACCATTTTGATTTTCCGAGCTCTTCAAAAAATAATTGAAGAACACTGTTTTGTCAAAAGTTTTCTGCACCGCAGGCTTTATTTTGAAACAAAAAAGGCTAAAACTGACCTTTTGAGTCATTTGAAAAAATTTGACTAAAAATGCGTTTTTTTCGGCGCGCGCTTCCGCCTCTATTTTAGGTAAATTGGCGATTTATTAGAAAAATTATGAGATTTGTCAGCCAAAAATGAATACGTTAAGTTATACCAAAGTGGGTAACCTTAAAAAAAATTTGGCAATTTATTAGAAAAATTTTGAGGTTGTTCAGCCAAAAATGGATGGCATAAAAATATCAAACGGATTCTTGAGTGGGAGGCAGTCAACTCCCCCGCCTCCCCACATCGGCACGCTACTGAATGCCAGTTTGATAGGATGCCTGTTAGGGGACTATTTTAGCAAATTTTAGACTTCGTTTACCTTCGTTATAGCCTGCAAAATACTTGCCGCAACTTTGTGCTCTACAATTTGGTAGAAAATTATGCATTTGCTGCGCCGTGATGGTTTTTTGGAAAAAATCCCTAAAAATGTGAATGAACTCTAATTTCAAATTTGTTTTTACTGAATTCAGCATAATAAAAAATTTCTGCTCGATCTAGTTTTCTCTAAATGAGGTAGGTTTAAGATAAAAAAGTAACAAAAACAAGTTTTAAATTCAACAAATTGTAACATGATTTATTTGTCGCATTCACTCATTTTAGCTTGATTTCCTCGTACTTTTATACTTTAAAGACATCCGCTGAACAGTTTTGTGTTAATTTTTCGTTTTGTTCTGACTTTCGATACGAAAGTAACGGAATATTTGTGCTCGGGGTGGGTTTTTTTTTCTTCAGACAAATTTCGACTTTTTAACTAGCCATTTTTGACGAAATTTTTTTTTATCATTCAAAAGGTATTGTTGTCCTGAGCTTAAAATCGAAAAGATATTTCACTTGTGACCATTTATCGTAAAGTTATGAGGGTTTAAATATTGCCATTTTGACCAATTTGGGACAAATAACGCGCGATATAATTCGCGCTATTAACGCGCAAGCGGAGATTTAATCCGTCTTATAAATCGTTCCAAATTGGTTGTTGAACGAAGCTAATTTGCCACAATTAGATTGTTACAAGGAACGAAATCTCTCTTTTTGTATTTTATATGGCGTGTGGGGGGATGATTTTCATAAAAAATTTCAAATTTCAGAAGAAAAAAAATTTCGTTTTATTTTATTTCATTTAATTTTTTAAATGTTATTACTGCTGCTCCATAAACCTTAAATGCAGACGGAACATTCAGGGCTTCGCCCTGATACCAGTAGTCTTGTTTGATTTTGATTTTGCTATCATTTTTGCGTAGTGTTTCAATTTCATAAGGCTTACGGTATTTTTTGCAGCTGAAATGTTTTAGCGATTGTCCGGTTTGGCAACGAAAACTTTTAAATTGGATGTTTAATTCGAAACCAACTAAACAAAATATCACAAAACCAAAAAAGTCACGATAGGCCTAGTTTCCAAATTTAAGGCTTTTGCACATCTTTCCGAAGCGCGCGGGGTTGCGGGCTCTTGTAGAAAAAAATTGGTTGAATAAAAACTAAAATATGTTCAAACTTCGAGCTGAGGTGATTGAATTCCTCCTTGATGCAGAAAAAAAATAAATCAATTTCTTTCATTTTTAAGATCAAAGTTAGCTCCAATGAGAAACACGATCTATCACAAATATTTTTTGATTCATCAATTACGTGAAATATACAGCAATTACTCATCAATTTTGACTAATCAATTACATGAAATAATCAATTTATGGAAAAAAAAAATAGAAAAAAAACCGATCTTTTATCTAGTCACGATGAGCTGTAAATAATCAAGCTGCAACCAATCAACTTTTCGTCCTCTGCACACAATCAATTATCTTTGAAAGATATAAGCAATCACGCTCATTGTTGAAAAGATTCGTATTATTATTTTTTGTAATTTGAACTAGAAAGTTATCTTTTTGAGGACTTGTAGACCAGTGGAATCATCCCCCACACACTAAGTTAAGTTAAAAATAAACAATTCGCTTGTAGCAAAATAATAACTAGATAAATGCCTCAATTCAATTGGTAAGGATTTCTAAGACGATCTGCACATCCGCTCACGCGTTAGTAGCCCAAAAATATTGCGTAACTTTACAAGTTGACCAAATCGGCAATCTTTAAACCCTGATAACTCGACAAATATTGATCATAAGTAAAAAAAATCAAGTTCAAAAGTGTTATTTTATTTGAGCTCAAGAAAACATTAACTTTTGTTGAATGATATATGAAAACTCAGAGAAAAACAGCTAGTTAAAAACTCGTAATTTGTCTGAAAAAAAGCACCTCAAGCACAAGTATTTGAACTTGGAACAATAAAAAAACGCAAATTGAACCCAGAAAAGTTCTTATCAAGACAAAGTTTGAACTTTTTCCCACTGCCTTTCAAGAACTATACAGAAGGGTCCACTTTAAACCCAATCGACCAAATTTTCTAATGCAAATTAAATAAAATTTTGAGATTTTTTTGAAAATCTTCTCCCCTCACGCTATTCAAAGAACGAACTAATTTTTTGTTTTTGCATACGGCAAGCTATAAGCTTGACTCATTTGGACCAAGGATGTCCCATTTCAAATAATTGGCAGTCTTTAAACCCCAATAGTTTTACGAAAAACAATCACAGCTTAAAACATTTTTTAAATCTGTGTGCAAGCCAACAAAATGTTTCGACTGATACAAGAGTTCCGTCAAAAATTGCTAGGCAAAAAAAACCAAATTTGTCTGGTGGAAAACGAAAGCACACCAACCACAAATATTCCGTCATCTTCTTCAAAAGTGGGAATAAAAAAGGTTGGATCAGTTTTTTTGTTAAATTAGAGACAAGCATATAATTTTTTAAATTGAAAACGTTTAAATTGTTTAAATTGAACAAGTTATTACCAAAAGTTAAAACTAATTAAATGCATTGGTATATGAAAACGCAAATTTCAAAACTATGCACTTTTCTAGTTTGAAACAGAATCTTTGATCCGGAAATTGTTCCAATTATCAAAACTGCAAATCGACGGAGAAATAAATGATATGGTTAATCTGAATTTTAAGAAAAGCGTAAGACTTTTTAACCTCGTTTTTTTGTCGTAGCCTAATTTTTTTTAATAGGATTTGTTAGATCTAACAAGGCACATGTGATTAGCTAAGAACCTTCCTGACCTGAACCTGGGTGGA